GTATTGCTGCCATCAAATCTGCTAAGCTGTAGTTTAATTTGCCACCTCTCGTTTCTATCTTTTTTTTTATTTATTTTATCCCACTTCTGACACCAATTTGTTGCACCTCTGTGTTTATTGGTTAATTACCCATAAAAATTCTTTCTGAAGAACTTCAGCAATACAAGTTCTTTCTTAAATAAAACTAGTTTATTCTTTCTCAATAAAACTTTGCAATACACTTGATTTCCACAGTCACTTTAACTTAAACACACGCTATAATTCACAACGAACTATTCACGCACTTTCTTACTACTGCGCTTGACTCAATTGTCCGTCTTTATCTTTGCCTGTCTGCAATTCAATTATCCACGCTCTCACTTTATTAACCGGCTTATACACAATAAGAGCGTGCGTCTAGTAAACGTTCGAGCCTTCACGAACCTTCGAGATACTCATTACGTGTTACCAGAGACACGTGACTTTCGCTGTCGTAACAATACAATGAATAAACCGCTTTAATAAAATTAACAGTTTTTCTTTTTCTTGTGTATGCTTTAATTAATTTAAGGGAGTGACAGCATGTAAGTTTTGAAATCGGTAAAAATGTGATCAAAATTTGGGTATATATAATAACATTGGTTTATAATACAATTAATAAAAAAGTGTAGTTCGAAAGAGACGGTGATTCTACGTAGAAAGCTTGTTAATAAATTTAGATTATAATACAACTTATAAACAATAGAGTCAGAAAAACATTAAGGCTACGATTATTCAGAAAAATTAAATAATTCTTTAGCCTCTTAAACTTATCAAGAAGTGTCTTTACTGAAAAGAAGTTGAATTATATCAATTTATCACATAATCAAGATGATGGTTGAAATAGTTATTGAAAATTGCTTTAAAATTTAATATTCTTATTCATAATATGCCTTTATAGTGTTATTTTGTATTCGGAACTAATATTTGCAATTAAGCTTCTGTTAAAGTGAAATAAATCTTAATATATAACTGTATTTAATATGGCTTCCAAAATAATAGAGAGAGTGGATTTTATAAAGCGGTATATGAAAACTTCTATAACCAAATTATAATTATCGTTAGTTTCTTTATTTTAGGGTAAAAATGAATTCAAAATAGAATAATACTATTTGACTATGTTCGATTATTTGTCTGGCTTCACATTTTTGTGTGACATGTTTATTAAAACTAATATTTGCCCCTAGATAAGATCGACAATAGTTGTTAATTTTCTTTCTTCACCAAAACGTCAATTTCAGTATTTTAAGTTGTTATTAGAGAGTAAACGATTGTAGATCTAAATCAATATATGATTTTCTAACATGATTGGTTTCTGTTTTTGAAAAGTTAGTGTTGTAATTTCACACTATGAAGAGTTTGAAAGCTTCTTGATTGATAAAAACTGATATTTTCAACGTGATACTTCAGCTTATACGCTTTGTTTTTTACGTGGATACATAACACGCTTAAATGGCATTCAAACAATATCAATATTTTAACTGAAGTTAGATCTTTCCAGTTGCTAAGCGGTGAGTCTATGGGCTTTTAACGCTAAGAATCGGGTTCAGAAACCTGTTTTGAGCATAGCACAAATAGCCCATTGCATAGCTTTGCACTTAACAACAAACAAACAAACAAAAAAGAAAGTTCGATTTTGATTAGATGTTTAGCCTAATATGGACATCTCATAATGGCATTCATGTCTGTTGAAATCGAGAACCTATAAACTGCGAGTATATTGTGAAATATAAAATTAGTTACGATGTTGGTTGGGTGTTGTGCTACTTAAACAATATATTAGGTTTCATATATTCCTAATTATTTGGAACATTTACGTGAATTTCACTTTGTTGCTGCCATTTCCACTGGCAGTTCAGTGTATTAATGTTGAAGATGTAGATAATGGTTATAAGCATAAGAGCTTAGCACTTTCTGTTTCTTTGAGCTGGAGGGTTTCTGACAACGTATATCATTTACTAACTTAACGTATTGTTAGCCCAACTGGTTGAGCGTGGCACTACCATTATAGAGAGTTGAGTTTGATCCCTTTACAAGACAAACAAACACATACAGGAATATACATCAACACTCTGCATTGTTGAAATGTTTGTACCTTTAATACAGTTTCTTTAAGAAGTAGATTAAATTATATAACAAATAATTTACTGCACTTTAATTTACACTACATAAAATATTTTATTGATCTAAACCAGATTTTAGAATGACCAGTTTTACAAAAAAGTACACACTGTTCATTTCACATGAGACTGTTTTAAACCCCCATTGTTTGGATGTCAATCTATACGATATACAGAGAAAGTAGATAGGTGCTGTGTGATACAATAAGAAGGAGCTTACAACTTGCTTCAAGACTGGCTTAATCCTAACCATCTCTAACGAAGCTTCAACGGAGATGTGACATTCTCTTTCAATTTCTTTGATGGACTCCAACACCAAAAGTTATTTTACCTGAGTTTACAATCACTTTGTGACGGGTCCCACTTACTCCTTTTTACAGCAAGAACAAACTTGTAAATGGCAAGCGAAAATGTTTGTAAGGCCTTTCTTGAGTTCATTTAAGAAGCCTTTTTTGCTTGTCTTTCATACACTCTTGTGTTGTAATACCTTCAAATATATATTTCTAGATTTAATTTACTCTACTCTTTATCGTCCTTACTTTGAAACGATATGTGTTAATCCTGAAGCCACGAGCGCTGTTATTTTTTATGGTTTCATCTTTGTTTTATATAGCTGATAATTCTGAAGATATTCTCTTGGCCAAACAACCTCATGGTTAGACAAAACGCTTGACATTTACAGCTTGATATTTTCGTTAACTGTTGGAAACACATTACTTGCTCAGCGTCAGATTACGTGTATAATTTACTAAATCAATTAAGAATGAGATAAAACTTGTGTTAATTGTAGCAGAGGAAATAATTTATAATTGAGTGTTATATCTCACCATAATAAACCTAATTAATAGGTGAATTAATCATCTTCTATTTAAAGGTGTGTAATATAATTGTTAATCTGGTTCCCAGGTTGGACGTCGGATTTACAACGCTAAAATTATGGATTCGATTCCCCTTGGTAGACACAGCAGACAGCCGGATATGGCTTTACTATAACAAAACACGCACACGCACGCACTTAATCTGTCGATAGAATTAGAAGACATTCCACACGCGCTCGCATACACTTGAAAAAATCGGCGAATTTCAAAAGATAAGCTAAATACTGAAGTAGGATATATTTCGCTCTATTTGTTATTACTACCCTCACAGAGAAGACCAAGGAATGCATTACTACCCATATGTTGACAGCAGTATGCTACTACTGTTTAGGCTAACAATAATTTACACTCTTAGTAGAGCTGAAGATGAGGACACAAAAGTGTAATGAGTGCTAATCTTAAGTATATTTTGAGTGAACTGAATGTTGCTTTGATCAGTTTGACTATCAGACATATTTAATATTCTAAATTTTAGTGACTAGTTCAATTGCGAATATTCAGAAATATATTCTGGGAACATTTATAAGGTACTTGAAGTTATAGTAGGTTTTATGAAATTATAAAATATATATCATTTTGATGAATTTAGATTTTGCAAATATATGAGGGTTACTGGAATATGGAGATGTAAATGTACTTTCAAAATCAAATGAAAAACAAAGGAACGACATGCACAGCTACTGTACAAATCTCAGTTCTAAATCACGACTAACTATTTGAGCTTGTCAGTTTTCTCACCTCTAGTGATTAATTAAAACATAAGAAATTCCTGTTTAAGGAGAAAAATAAATAAATACTCACATACACACAAAGTATATAATAGAGAATTGAACTAATAAAACAGCACTGCAGAATTTATAAGGCAACTTCAATATTATACGTCGACTTATATAATACATTTATTACTTGATAGGGTTGGCACCTTTTCAAAAGAGAAATATAGGACCTCTTGCGGCTATATCTGAAATGATAAATAACGCCCTAAGGACGCTTGGTCCATGTGTGTGTGTGTAATATACTTTAGTAACAATTGAAGAAATATTTCTTTCAGTTGGCTATTATTGACACTAGAATGGATTTATATGAATCGTGATTTTACACATCAATAACATTTTAAACCAATTCCGGTAGAACACAAAAAATTTCTTTATACAAGAAAAGATCAAATTCTTTAAAACAGTTTTTTAACAAAACGTCAGACGACACAGAATAAAACATGAAATAGAAAACGGGTGGTAACCCTTGGCTCAACCATGTCAACTTGTGAGCATTTTTATAACATTTACTGTGCTTATGTAATAACATGAAAAACAATATTTTCCCTTTATATACAAAAATATGTGATAAATTCTTTTGTAATAATAGTAGAATCATACTCGACACATTATTATATAGTAAGTTGAAGGGATAACGCTAAATATTAAATATCCAAAATTTCGTACAAAAACAACTTTTTCCAGTACCATTTTACAATAGATGTCGCAGATAAGGATATCTGAAAATATATAAAATTCATACTTAAAAAAGATAAACATCAGAAGTTATGTAATTTTGAATTTCAAAAAAGTTTTATATAAAAACGTGGCATTACGTACAAATTTTTATTTTGGATTCTGTAAAAATAGTTGAAATGATTGACAAATTATTTGTTGATATGATAATGATCATAAAAATAAGACTAAGTGTAATTATAAAAAAATCAAAATACATAGCAAAGGAAATATTTAATATGAACTCACTCTATGAACCATGAAATGGTAGTAAAAGTTCTGTATAAACCTATTTTCAAAGTATTAATCAACAGTTCTTATGTTTATGTTATCTTTAACATATTTAGGAAATATTAAAAATTTTCAAATAATATTAAAATACTAACACTTCAAATAGTTATTCTATATCAACACACACACACACACACAAACGAATATACATTAATAATCGCAAACAACTGATATTTTTCTTACATATAACCGTCTATAAATATGTAGAATAAAAGTTTTATGTCGAATGTTTGTTTTACAGATAAAAAGTTATTAATTTTATTTACAATAAGAAACTACATCTACCATACTTTGTTGACATTTTTAAAGTAATTATAGGTGAATAGTCTTTTCAAGTTTTTATTAGAACCTTGAAAAATAAATATCATATATATATATATTTCAACCCCATTTTTGAGAGGTTGTGTGGGTCATAAAAATTATATTAAACTAGTAATTAAATGCCAATATCTAAAAGGGTAATTGAACACATGGGTTTTTGAAGAAATTCACAAGTCATTAGAACTTCTATGAACATTACTTCTTGACACTTATAAATAAACAAATGGTAAATATATTTGTTTTAAATTCCTGTACACGAAGTCATGGAACGCCTTATGAGTCTTCAGTTATAAATTCGAATTGCCTGACTTGTGAATTGGTGACAAATTGGGCATTCAGGTTCAGTCTTTTCACAAATACGATTGGCACATTCAAGACAGAACAGATTGTGGCCGCAAGGTATTAGAGCTGCTACTATATTATTTTCAGAACATACGATACATTCTTGCTTTCCTTTTGGTCCTCCAGAGCCAAAGGAATCAGTGGAACTGCTAGATACACTACTGGTGCAATTAGGAAGAACATCATTACTATTTCGATTGGTTGCGCATTGTGGAAGTGATGGAAACAAAGGAATCAGAGACAGAGAGTCACTTCCGATTTGTCGAGAAGATTGATGGCTAAAGGCCAAAGAATCTGCAAGAGAAGTGTTGTCACCATTGATCGAGTTATTTCTATGACTCGAGAAACTGACTAGGGATTTGTTTCTAAGAAATGGGGTGGTATCTAAGTTTCCGATCTCAGACCACAGTGATACTTCTGGGCGTGGAGTAAGTTGTGTAGTTATGAGGGAGGACTCTCTGAGGCCTTCAGTAGAATCATATAATTCATTAATATTAGTAAAACCACCAGTATAAGAAAAATCAGTTAGATTGGGAATTTTATTCTCTGGCAAAAATTTCAGAATCTTTTCTTGAGATGATTTGTGCAAATTATTGCTTTTATGAAAAGAATGTCCAAATTGGTTTATCTTTAATGTGTAAGGAGAGTTCATCGCGTTATGTTCTAGCTTCGAGTTTCCTTGGAAATCTTGGTCAGCTCCATTTCGGTAAAAAATATTATTTCCACACGGTTCTACAAATTTTCCAGTGCGCATTGCTATATGTGTTTCTATTTCATATTTTGCGCTTTCCACGTTTTCATAAGGTCCAGTAATTTCAAACACAGGTTCCTTATCACGGCTTGGGGTTACAATGTATGTATTGGTTTGCTGTTGAATTCGTTTTATGGTGGCACCTTTGGACCCTACTACCAAACCAACCACACGATATGGAACCCTAACTTGGACTGTGGTCTGTCCAGGAATGTCACAGTTAAGTTCAACTGCCACAGGGCCATTCATATTTTTGCGCTGAGCTCTTATATGACTAAAATGTTCAGCAGCAGATATAATTTCTCCTTTGGCCCAACAAACATCTTCTTTACGTCCTGTTACAACAAATACAGGTTCTTCACCTCTAACAGGAGTTTTAATATAAGTATTGGTTTTGGCTCTTAGTGCTTTGATTTTACAACCTAAAAGAAATAACAAAGGAAACATGACTTAGAAACAAGATACTACAGCATAATGTTTGAACTTTTACACAAGGGATTTATAATGCTAACTTATTGGTTTACACTGTTTCACACTGCACGCAGTTCCTTATTTTATTATTAATTTATTGATATAATACTGTACTTAAACACCTAGAATCTACATTAGGAGCAACAAGAGAAAAGTAATAGTTTGGTAATTAAAAACTTTGTAATTATTTGTTTCTCCATTTGAGTGAAAAAAAAAAGATTAAAAGTTTTTGAAGGATTTAATAACAATTTAGCTTTGTGCAATAAAAGCATAACAAACTGATAAAAAATGAAAATATATTATTTTAAAATGAAAAAAATACTGGCGGTGGGTGGTGATGACTAGCGGCCTTCCCTCTAGTCTTTCACTGCTAAATTAGGGACAGTTAGCGCAGATAGCACTCGTGTAGCTTTGCGCGAAATTAAAAACAAACCAAACAAGCAATTTCATACATTTGTTGTTTAGCTAACATTTTTCCATTGGAAGCCATGGGCGGTTTTGATTACTAGGTCCTTTAGCCCCTTTTTATTATTCCTTTATACTGTTTTGTGGGAAATCTTCAAAGTCCATCACCTTTTATGGGTCTTTCTCAGTCTCATACATCTGAATTGATCTTAGAAAGTCTTCTTGAGGAAAAGGCTATGGTTCTTCTCGATGACGGGATGAAATTCAGATGGCCACACACTGGTAAGTTGCCTTAATTCAACCATTATCTTCACGTAGACAGTAGTGGCCACTTCACTTGCCATTATCAATTCTACTCCAGACCTTTTTTCAGTTTTATCCTTTGCTCGATGTTTTACAGCTAAACACAAAGAGAATTATTTCTTTAAAGTGGATACGATTTACCTCCACACTACTTTTTAGATTTTTTGCTTGTTTTTTAGGGTAGAGTGGAAGTTCTGGAGGAGCCAGTTAAATTACTATCCAACATTATTTATTCCCAAAGAAGTTTTTCATTGTATGGTTCCATGCTGATACGAAGAATGTAGTAAACTTGTAGATATAAGTCTTAGGGATTTGCGATGAGTGACTCGACACCTCAGTCATATGTTTTTGCGATCTTAATATTTCCTGTGAAAAATGAAGCAATATATTAGAAACCAGGCTGGTGGAACTTTTGTTCCACTATTACTAAGGATGCTCCTGTTTCAAGAGTCTGGAATGTCACTTCAGTCACGTGCGCCTTACTTTTCAAAATGTACTCTGGGTTCATTCAGTGTTGTACTTACTCCAGAGAGGAAGTGACAATTTTAGTTACTCCACGTTGTTTCATTCGAGTTTCTTCCATAAGTTCCTTCTATCTTTATTCAATAACAACTGAATAACTGGTATAAGTCCCATCTGTCTGGAAATATTCTAATTTTAGCCCTGTTACGAAGTCCATTTGTTCTGTCACCCCTTCTTCGCATCAACTAATCTTCTAATTATCATGTGTGGTAAACATTGTTTGTGTATAAAGTGATTACGATTGCCCTTATAACTTATAAGTTACGTTTCTATCAAAGAAGAAACAATAATGAAATGTTTAACAGGCCTCTGGTAATCTTTTTATATTGTGCAGGTTAGTAAATGTTTTACTATATCTAGTTTCTTAAACCTTGAAGCTTTTGTTTATACTTTGAAGGTTGAGTGTATGTTCAGAAAACTGTACTATATAAGTATTGAGGGCATATTTCACGCTGGTTGAATGACATTATTCACAAAATAACCTTTTGTGTTAAACCTAAATAATATCAGATTTTCTCTTGTTATGTAGATGAATGGCATAAATAACGGATTAAAGCTCAACTCAACTTTATTTAATGTTGTTTTGTCTAACTCCGAACACTACTTAGGAAAGAGTTGTTCCTAATTTCTCTAATCATGTTTTTATTTGCCATCAGAGGTGAAACTTCAATTTTACCTATTTTTTTCTTCAATGAAGTCTACCTCAATAGAACAAATAGCTTCTGACTGAGACGTCTGCTATGCTCGTCTCAAATGCAAATATCTTGCGTTCACCAACCACAAAATGGCTTAGATAAACACTGCCTTGCAGTATTTCACATCAGTATAAAATGTGTATTTGAATACCTGTATCCAGAAATTATTTCAGACATAGTCTAAATTGGCTCTTGATTCCGTGGAACTTTGTTGTTCTTTGATCTCATATTTGGTTTACTCTAATTCTCATAAATGGGCATTTTCTCTCACTGGACGTTTAACTTATCATATGATTCCCTTCCCATGTAGAAAGTATTCACACATTCCTTACACAGGACTTGTGAATTAGTGACAATATTTAAAATTTGTATTAGCAAATCTCCACTCTGTAAAGGCTGTGATAGTATCAGAGAAATATCAAATAAATTACCTTAAGTTTTATCTTCTTTTCCTCCTCCTTCTTTGCCAAGCATCATGTTCTCGCAGATTTAAATGCTCTATTCGTTTCAAAAGCTTTACTTCTGCTTATAATTTACTTTCTTCTACACAATGTCATCTCATCCAATATATCATATTTTCAAAGCTATTTTCCTGTTTGACAGTTTTTAACTTTTCAATATATTAGTAGCATTTGAAACTAGAGGTCATTTCACGAGTATTCAAATAATATCTCTCAATTTATATATGCTCGTTCTTCTAAATTTAGTTAGTGGTTATTTAAATATTTAGCTTGAGATGGCGAGCAATGTGGAATTAAATTCAAACTGCTGTTTAGTAGTATAAATGAGCTAGAAGGCTCATAATGCACTAATTTTCAAAAAGAAGTAACTTCCAATTATTCTAAAATTCTCAGTTGCTGACCCTTGGGGGCAAACATTCAACTCCAGATAGCCTAAAAGTTAAGATTACTAATTTCAAAATAACTTGAGTTTAGTAAACAACCCCAATAAAGACTACAGTTTGTCAGGACCACCTAACAATAAATTGTTTTAGGTACCCTTTTTAATATTTGCAGGAACTTTAAAATTTGATGAATATTAGGAAAATGAAAATAATAAAATATAGAATATTTGTTTCTAGTGTGAATATTATATCATCTAGATTAGCCATTGCTCTTAACCTTTTTTGTAGCAGAGTAAGTGAAGGGGATCTGGCATGGTCTGGTGTTTAAGGTGCTGAACTCGAAAGCTGCAGGTCGTGGGTTCAAATCATATCATCGAACATGCTCACTATTTCAGCTGTGGGGCATTATAATATGATGATCAATCCCACTATTCGATTAGAGTAGTATAAGAATTGGCAATGGTTCATGTTGACTAGTTGCTTTTCCTCTTATTTATCATTTCTAAATTAGGGGCAGCTAGTGCAGGTAGCTTTCGAGTAGCTTTGTGCAAAATTAAACGAAAGTATTATATGTTACCCATATGTTTTTACAGTCCAAAAAAGTCAAGTCAACTGTAAGTAACTGTAACACTATTACCCAAAAATTGTGCCCTTGTTGGCTTATTATTAAGTCAGGAATACTCAGCATGACTACCATTTATACTGATGCTACAACAGGTGCAGAAAGGTTGACAAAATACTATTGCTGCAGCTGCTTCAGTTAGTTTAACTTAATATAGGATGAGTTGAATATGGTCACCAGCTTGGACAGGTGCAACAATCAGATGATAACTGATGACATAGTAGCTGGTTTGGAAAACCATAGATTTGATGTCACATATGGTTTGCCTATAATAATATACAGATACGAGTTTGAGTGTCTAGTTGAGACCCAAACAAACAAGATTTGACCATGTATCAAACACTCTGAGGGAAGTCATCACTTTGGTCAATTAGCATGCACCAACGTCATTCTGGTAAATGGTGATAAACTAGATGTGAATAGCAAGGCATATCTTTGAGTTTGTTTTGGCAATGTCATTCACTGAGTAAAGGTAGTTGTGTTTGACTTGGAATCAGGCATTGGTATCTTAGGGATGGATCTACTGTAGAAAATTTGAGTCATTTCTGCATGCACAAAAGAAAAAATACACTTCTGTGGCAAATTATCCAGTGACAACCAGACTGATGCTAAGAACCATAGATTGCACATGTGCACGTTGAGAGGGAGGATGTGAGACTTCCAAACATGAAAGAGATACTCTATGACGTATTAAGGATGGAGTTTAGTACATAGTTACCATTTTGTGTGGTGATATAACTGATATACTAAACTGTTTTCTTTCTGGAAATCAGTTCTCTTTCTAAGTGTTGGAATCTTTCCAGTGATTGTTTGTTACTACAGATAGTTTGCTGTTCATCTCGCAGTTATAATGGTCATCAGCATCGTAATAAAGACAGAAGTGGAAAAAATAAGCCTAGCAGCTAGTACCACAGCTGTTGTATGGCATTATAGGACAAACATGTGGCCAGAGCACGTGAAGTATCTAAGTGGGGATTGTGCTTTCAGTCAGTATATGGTTGATTCAATGAATTACCCAAGGAGTCTTCTGATGTGTCTGTAGTTCATGTGGCCAGTTGGTTTGGACAACAATCACACATACGTAGATGATGCACATACAATAAAACAACTACTGTGCAGATTCTTTGAAGCACCAGGGATGATACCAGCACTGAAATATAGCAGGTGTTGAAGGATGGGATCATTCAACCATCAGCAATTACTTGGCCATTTCCACAAGTTTCTATGTGGACTTTAGGCACATGAACCTGGTAACACACACCACACTGAATGCTTTGAGATAAATGTATAGATGCATTGGAAGGTTACTAAATCTGTATTTTGGCTATTGAAAAGCCAAACGGGACTATGAAAGTATATCTAAGACTGTTCTAAGTACCCAGGAAGGGCTGTACAAATTACATGCCATGCCGTTTAGTTTGTGTAATCACAAATCACTTTCTAAAGGTTAGTGGAGCTCAAAGGTAGAGAACTGCAATGAGAGAAATGTCTGTATATTTGTATATGGCATACAAGTCTTTGGTTGGACATTTGTAGGCCACTACTCAGAATGGTATTCTA